TTGACCCCTCTATATTGGTAGAATTTATAAGTATTGAATGCTACTTTTTCATTTTATTCTATTCCCTTTTCTTAATTTTCACATTTAAGGTATTAATTCACAATCTCTTGCATTGAATAATCTCTATACATACATACATATATATATATTTATTTATTTATTAAAACAAGTAAGTCTATAAATTTTCTAATTATAAATTCTATTTCCCCCTCCCTCGCTCCCTCCCTCCCCCCCCCCTCTCTCTCTCCTTCTCCCCCACATGTTCCAATAACCTAAATAATATAATATCCTAAAATTTCTCCTAAACAACCTCCCTCACTATCCCTAACTTCTCATAAGTTATCTCTAATATCCCTAAATTCTTATTTATCTGCTCCAACACTTTTATCAACATCTATCTAAAGATGGTTTGAAATAAATATTCTAATAATTATTTAAATATTATAACAAAATTATATAATAATTTTAGAATATTTATTAAAAAGACAATAAATAATTATAATTGATTTAATAATATTCATATTATTAATAATTATATATTTTTACAAAGTTCATGATGAAATTATATACAAACAATATAAATAACAATTTTCTGAATTGTTCAATATAAATGTTATTCAAATAATAAAAATCTAACATTAAAAATGAAATGTTATTTAAATACTTCAATAACAAAAATATTTAATATAACTATATTTTAAATAGTTTAAATAACAGAATTATGTATTAATAGTACTATAATTTTATGGATTATTAAATCCAATAAGTAATTAATATTTTAAAATTTAAATAATGGTATTATTTCAATAAATAAATAATATTGTAAATAACTAATTTCATTTATACAAATTAATAATTATAGAAAATAACTTTCAAAAAAATGTTATTTATTAATAATCTTTTTAAAATCTTAATCTTTATTCATTATATTTATATATACTAAAATTAATATTTATTGTATTTTAGTAATTATTTATTGTTTTTTGTGATGAATATATTTTCAATGATTATGTATAAGTCTATATCTGTTTTTTTATTTAATATAAATTTTTTAATAATTATTGGAGATTAAACTATTGTTCACGGGCTGGTTTGGTTCAGTTGTAGGTTGCTTGGCCAACCAAATTGACCTGGTTAGGTTGAGGGTTGGTCACTCAAGTTATATCGATTTGGGTCAACTTTCAATTTGGTCGGTCGGTTCAAATGATTTAAACTTAAAAATTAAGTTTAAATTTAAAATAGTTATAGACATTATTAAAAAAATTAAATTTATGATATAAACTATTTTATCCTAAGAAATATTGGAAATTTCCCACTTTCCCGCATTAAAAAGATATATTTAAAATATAAAATATTAATTAATATCTATGGTTAGGTCATTTGATTTTAGTCAGTTTACAAATGGACAAAGCAAAATTGACCCAACCTAGTCGGGTTGGGAAATTGTTGAACCAAAGCCAACTGAAAATACTATAAATCAGGTTGGTCAGTTTCATTAGTTTGATTCGGAATGGCAATGGGTCAGGGTGGGGACGAGGAGCCTCTCCCCATCATCGTCCCCATGAAAATCCCCATCCCCGTCTCCATCCCCATCCTCACTAATGGGGACAAAGTTATCCCCATCCTCATCTTCGTGGGGATCCCCGCTCCCCGTCCCCGTCCCCATCCTCGCTAATGGGGACAAAGTTATCCCCATCCTCATCTCCACGGGGGTCCCCACTCCCCGTCCCTGTCCCCATCCTCACTAATGGGGACAAAGTTATCCTCATCCCCGTTTCCATGGGGATCCCCACTCCCCATTATTCTTTATAATATCAACCATTATGCTTTTTGTTTTTTATTTTATCTAAAAATTTAAAATTAAATAAATAAAATTTACAATCCTACTAGAAAAGATTCAAACATATTCAACCATATTTTTAAAAATATTAACATATAGATGTATGTGTACATATATACATATATAAACATATGCATATATATTAGCGTGGATCCTATGGGACGGGGATCGGGGTCCATGTGGGGCAGGGAGTTCTCTCCCCGTCCCCGCACCGTCCCTGCCAATGGGATGAAAATTTCTCCATCTCTGTCTCCACAGGGATCAGGGAAATGGGAAAATTGCCATCCATACATTTGATAAACAACCCTATTTAAAGTTAATTACTACTATTTTTGTATTGTAAAAAATATTAAAAATAGTATAAAAAATACAAATGATTATTAATTATTATATAAAACAATTGTATATTATTACATGTTTTTATTGTTTATCTTTAACTGAACAAATCCTATGCATTGCACGGGTCCCTACTAGTATATAATATGTTTAAGATATATTTATTTCTCACCATTAAATCTTACTAATTAAATACATACACAATAATTTAAAAAAAATTACATTTTTAATTGGCATAAAAAATGTTTTTTGGGTGATAAACAAAAAACATAGAATTTGATAAACAAAATAAAAAATGTTTTCATTTCTAATTGGTGGATTAACAATCTAACCTCCAACATGGAATGGGTCAATCCATAATGTCATATATAAACAATACATATTTCAAAAGAAAGAGAGAAAATACAAAATTTTGTGAGAAGAAATTGGGCACAATTCTAATATCGCATATTTGTGAATATTAACTAAAATTTGCAATTGTTTATTTGCACTCCCATGGGTTTGTACTAGTGCAAATGAAATTGCACCGAAAACGATAAAAATATAAGGTGCATTTGATAAGAGTGTAAACATAGAACCAAAGCAAATCTGTTCCCTAGTTTCAATTAGTATTTGGTAAGAAATGTCAGTATGAAAAGTAAAAGTGAATTTGTTTTTCAACTATTTTTGCATTCAAAATAAGATCACAATTTACTTTGGAACTCAAAATTGGTGAATGAAAAAATAAGATCCATGTTTACAATCTCACATCCAAACAGGAGCCCATGAATTTATGACTACAAAATCAAACTGGGTTTGCATCTTCTATCTGAACAAAATTGCATTCGTATAATGCATTCAATTTTTTCCCTCTCACCATACGCAAACTTGTGTTTCTTTACTAAAGTACTTTCTTGACTTAAAATCTCGAGTAATTATGGTAACACCTATTTATCTAGGGTAACCAACGAATTGGATACATACTTAGATGGAAAAAATATGATTCATTAATATATGGATTCGAATTGAATTCTGATTGCGGTTGGACATTGACGCATAAATTAAACTAAAACTGATCAAAACATTATTTATGAAATGAAATAAAAATGACTTTCGTTAACCTTTGATACCATATACCATGAAATAAATGAGTTCAAAATAACTTCCAAGAAATTTGAAGTAAAAATACAACATCCAAATGAATTTTACTAACCAATACAATAGACATATACACACATATATTGAACTAAATTGGATCAATAAGGGGTGGATCCATAACCGATTTGATTATAAACAAATAGAGTTTGGAGTACCCTCAATTGGGTTGAATTTCAATACGACTTTGGACAAAACAAAACAATACTGTTTTCAGCACCAACTTTATCATGTCTATCATTTGCCATATTGTCATTTTGATCAGAAGCAAATTAAACAGAGATTACAAACACATTAATACAAAAGCTATCTTAGGAGAAAAATAAATTGATTTTAGGGTCTATTTGGTTTGCAATTGAAATCGGAATCAAAATCCTTCAGAATTGAAATTGGAATGGTCTATTCCCATAGTCTGTTTGGTTAAACGGGAATTGTAATGAAAATTGGAATTAGCTATTTAGCTGAAATAAGATTTCATTCCCAAGGGAGAGAGAGGAAATGACCATTCACTCAAATGGAAAAATGTCATTCCACTAGAAATGGGAATGAGATCCCGATTCCACCCGACCAAACAGTTGAAATTAGAATGAGCCATTTTGGATATGATTCTAGACCCCTATTCCCGTTTAAACCAAAATTGACCTTAGTTTTAATAGCATCACAACGTGCCAAGTAAACTAGATGCATCATATTCTTGATGGGTCACTACAAAACAAGACAAATAAAACAAATGGTGCTTGGCATCAATCTTCCGCAGCCATCGGTGTTGCAATCCATGATTCAACATGCCACTTCCTATTTGGTCAGGCTCATCTAAGGGTAGATTCAAGTCGAGCCGAGCTGAATAGTACCAGGCTTGAGCTCGGCTTGAGACTATTCTATAAGCCTCGAGCTCAAGCTCGATTCGAATCAGAACCTTGAGCTCGAGCTCGACTCAGGTCAAGAGTTCATATGCTCGAGCTTGGCTCGGCTCGGCTCGGCTTGTTTTATATTTTATAAAAATAAAAATTATATATAATTTTTTTATTTTATATTTAAAAAATTAAGAATTATAATGATTAATAATTATAATATTTTTATTATATATATTCGAGCTGGCTTATGAGCCTCACGAGCCGAACTCTAATAGGCTCAAGCTCGACTCGTTTAATAATTGAGCCATTGAATTGAGCTTAAGCTTGAGCTCGAGCTTGACTGAAACCGAGCCAAGCCAAGTTCGAGCAACTTGTAAAAAGCTCAGCTTGTTGCCACCCCTAGGCTCATCTAGTCCAATCCTCTTCTACTTAAGAAACGGAAGCTCTTGCCATTATGGAAGGATCATTGATGAAGTTTGGGTTTACAAACTTTACATCTTGAAGAGTGATGCCAAAATTATTGTGGATCTGCTCAATTCCCACATAGATCTTCCTTGGAGATTACACCATATAATTATGTAGCGCAATCTTTGCTGTCTTGTTTTTCTCAAGTTTTAGAGCTCTTTGCATCTCGAGGTTGTAGTAAATTAGCTTACAAACTTGCTACCTGTGCTAATCAGTATCATGTTTCCAAAACTTGGGTATCACCTCCTTCATTTGTAACTTGTAAGGTAGATACTCCATTTTGAGATGTAATCTTGTTGAAAGTTGAATGAATGTGCTTTTAGGCTTAAAAAAACAAGACAAATAAAACGTCCTATGTTAAAGAGTCATACTTTCCAAATCTTCAAATTATTATTATTATTTTAAATTTGCCAAACAAAATACATTTGAAATCATTTTCCTACTAAAATTCAAACAAGAGACCCCTCAAATGAAAAGGAGGCTAGACGCTAATAACATGCTAATGGGTATTCATCTCCCTTTTTGGTTCTCACCCCGATACCAACTTTATAATGATGGTGATGGTATTTAAAGCTATAAGGGGCAATCTCAAGTACTGGGTTGCATAGATTAACCCCATAAGCTGCACCCTGAGTGATTTTGTGCCGTCTCCTGAGACCTCTGAGAAGCTCCACCCTCTAGGGGCAAGGAACCTGTCTTCATTCAGTATTGCCAATGCATTTGCAAGAAGTAGAAAGCCTTCCAGCAACGTCCATAAGCCCATATCCTTCATGATTAAGTATTTATCGTAAGAATATTTTCAAACACATTCAATTAGATACCAATTATTTTGGAAGCAAAATATTGGTTTGGAGGTGATTGTAATTATAACCACTAGGAAGCAGTAAGATTTTTATGTCGCATATAAATGTTCCATACTTACAAAAAATGAAAATTACTGAGATAGCTACTTCTAAAGTCTTGCTTACAATTAGGCATGTGGGCCAAAATCTTAGAAAAAACTTTCTTCTCATCGGAACTTTGCCTATTAGGTCTTCTTACCATTCAGCTTCATTCTAGCTACTCCTAGAGCAGCTTTTAGACACTCGATAATCTATAACCTCTTCTCATCGGAACTTCTGCCTTTGAAATCGGGAAAGGCAACCTCTCACATAAAAAAGCACTTCCCTTCTTTTCTTTCTATCCTTCATATGAGGCATAAATCCCATTAGCCTGATATGAAGTATTGGAATTGGAAAAAAAATCGCTCACCTAAAACATTTAATAGCTTCCATTTATACTCTAAAGTCTAAAACACAATTACTGGAATTTGATTTGCATTTCAAGTCTATCCCAATCTATGAGCACCAAATGCTTGAACTTTGACTCTGATTCTAATTCCACCTCAAATCCAGAAACCAAAGACAGCCTAATACTTTAACTTTACATAAATGAAAACGAAAAAACAAACAAGTAAATGGCAAAAAGCCAATAGCTGAGAGGATAGACTATTCAGTATTGTTGATTTGATTCAACCTTTTTGGACGAGAGAATAAAACAGGAGTTTACAAGAAAGAACAGAGTAATTATGTTTTTTCCCAAAGGAGGAGACCAACAGCTGCTTGTCCTCATCTTGGTGTGTTGCAAAACCAATGGTGAGACTTATTTGGGCAAGATGGCCCTCTCCTGGCAGCATGACAAATTTATTCTCTCCAACCTTCTTTGCTTGGCCTAAGAAAAGAGGAAGGATCTCGTGGACAAGTACTGGGGCTGCACTTATTTGAACAGTTTGGGAAGAGAGAAATGCAAGAATTTTTAAAGATCACGAGAGAAGCAAAGACTCATTGAAGCCAATAACTAATAGGGTGGATCATTAGGTGAAGTCTCTGGAGAGTTTCTTGGTATTCTCAACAGATGACATTATAAGAAAATGGAAAGAAGTGACAGAAACATCTTCAAGAAAGATACCTTGCTTCAGAGAATAGGCTCCACCAGAAGAGGATTCATAAAGCTGAACTTTGACAGTAGTAGGGGAAATCCGTGAGGTTTTCAGAAATGAGAATGGGCATGTTATGGCTTCATTTTTAGGTCCAAAGGGGGGTAGGAGACTAAGGGCTGTAATTCATGGTTGTAGTGGAAGAAACGTAATGGGCTAGAAATCTGAATTTGGAAAATTAATTGTTGAAGGTTATTCAAGGTTGGTTGCAGCAAAGGGAAGCAGCCTCATGGCAATACAGAAATGATTTAGAAAAATTCAGGTGGCTGACTCGAGGTATTTAAGTGAGAGTTAATTGGGCGCAAAGGACTGCCAATAGCTTGGCAGATGAACTAGCAAAGCAAGGGGCGGGGAGAACTCAAATGCTTTGGGATCAATTGTAACTAAAGAGAGAGAGGAGAACTAGTAGAAGGTATCTCTCAAAAGGATCTTGTATATATGCACTTCCTGTGTATCAATTAATAAAATTGAACTGTTATTTATAAAAAAAATGTTTTCACAAATGTTAGATATCAAATTTGTAAAAGGAGAACCAAGGATTATAGGGTTATAATTTGTGTCTTGTGTCACTTTGTACATCTTTCATTAGTCATTACCTCTTTCCCTTCTCTCTTTTCACCTCTTATCCTTTTTTTATAGCACTTTTTCACCTCTTATCCATCTTTGGATTAAAATTATTATGTAAACATACAATATGATAAACATAATTCTCTTACATGTGCTTAATCTTATAATATAATTTTATTGATAAAAAAGTTTATAATATAATTTGTATGAAACTAGGGGTGGGGATGCTTAGCTACACCCACTAAAGTAACCCCACCTCTTTATTCCTTTGCTGGGCAAGGGCTAACTTGGCTGAATGTACTTGTGGTTTTCTCCAAGCCCAGTGAACATTCTCCAATCAAATAAACAACTGCCTTTGGTTCAGAGCAACTCACAACCAACCAAACCCAACCACTTGCCAACCTATAGGCTAGTGGGGCATGAAAACAACTTCCTTTTGAATCACCCATCACTGAGGAAAAGAAACAACAGAGGAACAGAAAAACTATAATAATGTTCATTAGGACATGGCAAACTTGTTCAATACTGGCTTACATGCAGACCCGCCATTTGACAGGAAAGTGGTTTGTGGGAGCTGCAAACTGAACATTTCGTGAATGCAGCTATTTGTAGATTGTAGATAGTGTTTAATACTTTTAATAACATAAGAAACATATTCATTTATTTTTCCTCAAAGCTTTGATATCATCACGTGTTTTTAACTCTCATAACTTTTTTTTTTTGAGAAACTCTCATAACTCTTTTATGCTTGAGTAACTCATTGTTATATTATGTTAGGTAGATTTTTCGTATCCAGGATGGAAAATCAGAGAAAATGTCTCTCATCATACATTTTATACTACTACAGCATCCATCATATCGTTCAGGTAGCAACTTGATTGATCATCTCGTTCAGGTAGGATCCAAGGTGGGCAGCTCCTTAGTCATGTCTAAGGGCATTGTCCATGGGTTTGCTAATTGAGTTGTTCAGAGAAGATTTTTAAAGAACTCTTAAAACTTCCACATGGCAACATGGTTTAGGCTTCCAGCTAAAAATACACTGCAATGTAGTCAAAATAAGCCCTTTTATGAGCTGGCAGGTCAGCGGGTTTGAACGTGTGGCAAATTCAGAGGGTTACCTATCCAATGGAAGGTTTTTATCAGCCATGCCATTGCCATCCCTCTAAATGCAAGAAATAGGATACTCTTTCCCCCCTAAGTGAAAGAAGGTAGAGTGTATAAAGAACACAAAGTGATTTTATTAGAAAACCATTTCGAAGGGATGTTTAAGGACTCATCATCATCCCACTGTCCCACTGTCCCTTTCTCCTTCAATAAAATTTCTCTGTTGCCTGTCAGAGAATAATATATTGTAATAAGCTTGACATAAGCATCATGGCAGGAATAGAACAGAAAAGAGAAATGCAAGTAACTTAGATAGGGCCTCGATTATATGTAATTCATTTCCATCAGAGAACTAATAACTATGGCTAATTGGCTATGAATGCCTCTTCTCCTTCTAGCGGCGAACGCTTAAATGATACTGCGTATGCTAATCTCAAGAAGCTGGAGAATGTGATATAGATAGTTGAGAATTGATACTACGTTATCCTACTGATGATCAGAATTCTGTATTTTTTCCCGTAACAATCGCAACAATTTGTTAACTGAAATCTAGAAAGAAATGTCCTTGTGTATTCACTAGACAACCCTAATCCACATATTTGTGTGAAATTGTGAATACATACAGTAAAGGCTCCATTCTTGGTTTATCTGCATATTATTCCGGACACGCAAGTCGAGCGAAACAAATGATCTTCGAAAACAGAAGTGTAATTTTAAAGAATGTTTGCTTGATTATGCTAACTATCACAAGGGTTAACCAAACGCAAAATAAACCTAGCTGAAGATCGGGGCAATATTTGTTCAAAGCAGCTGTATATCAATGCACAGAAAAAAGAGAAAGGGATGATCAGACCTGGGAATTCTCCTCGATTTACCCTTGAAAGCACTAGTTAATCCAACAAGATCTCAGTGTCAATGGTGGTTTCGATCATAAACCAGGATCGCCTAACTGAACCTTGTTATTCTTCAGATTCCTCTCTTTCTCACTCTCAGCCTTCTTTTTGTGTGGCAAAATCGCGAATAAAGCGAAGTAATGGGCAAATCTGGGAAGTGGGAAATCACGAAAGTGCCACTGTGCCAGCATATCTATCTGGCACTTCATCGAGAGAAAAATTAGGGACAGAAATATCATTACCGGAACAACAAGGGCAACGAGAAACAACTATTTATCAGAGATATTTTCTTTGGGGAAAATTGGCGGGGAGATGGATGGATAATGCTAGAGGAGTAAGAACGAAAAATTGGAGTAGATAGAATAGAACGAGAAAGACGGAAAAACCCTAGCCTTCTCTCTAATGGCAGCATTTCAGCTCCCTTCATCGTTTCTCACCGTCTCTTATATTCGGTCTATAGGTTTCCAGAAAGGCCAAAGCCGATTTGAAGAAGCTAAATTTACTCGGTTGTGTAAACTGAGTTTTATCGGAGCGGAGCCTACTCTGTTCTCTATCCTCAGATATTCGATAATCGGGTGGAAGTCTACTTTGGAAGTACGAAAATCTCTACAGCTAGAGCCAGTAAGAGCATCCGCTGATTGCGACAATGGAGCTCCACCGAAAACGACCCGCAGAGGCAGGAAAAAGGGAACCGCTGCTTCTCCTTCCACCTCTTCTACAAGAAAAACAGAACGTTCGAAGAAACAAGAAGCTGACAATGTGGTAGTCGAAGAAAAGAGTTCGAAAGAAGGACCAAAGGAGGAAAGGGCAGTAGCAGCAGCAGCAGCAGAAGAAGAAGAAGAAGAAGAAGAAGAAGAAGAAGAAGAAGAAGAAGAGGATTATGACGACGGAATTGATTTCCCTTACGAATATCCTCCGTTGATTTGCTGCTTCGGTGCTGCACAGAAAGAGTTCGTTCCGACGGTGAGGGTTTCCGATCGACAGATGCATCCTGACATTTACTCCCAGTGGAAGTCACTCCAGTGGGACCCGCCAGAGTTCGTCAGGGCACCTGGTGGGCCGGCGTCAAATGTTGCCATTTCCCACGTCAGACTCGGCGGTCGAGCGGCGTTCATGGGGAAGGTTGGAGACGATGATTTCGGTGAAGAGTTGGTTTACACAATGAACAAGGAGAAGGTTCAGACAAGGTCTGTCATATTCGATTCGGATGTGAAGACCGCGGCTTCTTATATGAAAATCAAATTCGAGGACGGGAAGATGAGAGCAGAGACCGTGAGAGCGTGTGCGGAGGATTCTCTCCAGAGCTCTGAAGTCGATTTTGCTGTACTAAAAGAGGTAAACGAGAATTTCTTCTCAATACTAGTTCTGAGTGCAGAACTTTTCCCCCTCCCTTTTGAATTGTACTATCTTCGACAAATAAGGTTTACTATGTTTCAATACAATTCCTTGCAGGCCAGAATTTTTCATTTTAATTCAGAAGTTCTTACATCTCCGTCTATGCATTCTGCCCTCTTTAGAGCGATCAGATTGACAAAAAAGTTTGGAGGACTTGTGTTTTTTGATTTGAATTTGCCTTTGCCTCTGTGGAGGTCGCGTGATGAGTCTTGGGAGGTGATTAAGAAAGCCTGGAATGAAGCAAATATCGTTGAGGTATCAAAGCAGGAGCTGGAGTTTCTTTTAGACGAGGAGCATTATGAGAGGAAGCGAAATTACAGACCTCAATACTATGCTGAATCTTTTGAGCAGACAAAGAACCGTCGTGACTATTACCATTATACCCGCGACGAAATCTCTCCGTTGTGGCATGATGGAATAAAGTTCCTTTTCGTGACTGATGGGACATTTCGAATTCACTACTACTCCCCCTCATTTGATGGTGCAGTGGTTGGAACCGAAGATGTACTTATAACCCCCTACACTTGCGATAGGACTGGTTCTGGTGATGCTGTTGTCGCTGGTATTATGAGAAAGCTGACAACTCATCCAGAGATGTTTGAAAACCAAGATGCGTTGGAGAGACAACTTCGCTTTGCAATTGCAGCCGGAATCATATCACAGTGGACAATTGGTGCTGTGAGAGGTTTTCCAACAGAGAGTGCCACGCAGAATCTGAAAGAGCAGGTTTATGTACCTTCAATGTGGTAAGAGTATTTGCTAGGTAACGAGAACCAAAAGTCTCTTTCCGGCAGTAGGTTGGATGTGGGATCGATCCTCATTCTAAAATTGTTGGACTAATTTGGTAGAGACGAGATTCTTGACATCCTTGTAACGATGTTATGCCTTTTCTGATCTTCTTTTTTGAAACAAATGATGGCAATGCTGCATTGTTGTACACAGTTGAATGCCAGGATTCACTGTCAGATTGCCTTTGGGCAATACGTGAAACATAAGTTTACAACTAAATTAGAGAATTGTTCAAATGTCCATCTGAAATGTTTACAGTTTCATGGTTTCTGTTCTTGGGAGCTTTTGTTTTGGTTTAGGATGGGGGATATGACTTTTCACCAAGCTTCTCTAGTTGAGTTTGGAGTTTTGTTTTAAGAAGTTGGTATCAGCATATCATGTGAAATCTTGGTCATCTGAATTATTAAATAGTTCCTTATTATTCATATAGATGTATTGAACAGATAAACAAGCCTGTTCCTGTTGTACTGGGTTTCAAGTCTCTGTTCTATTTCTGCATCCATTCTCTTCTTTTGGCCTACATATGTGATCCTCTTTCTCTTGTTTCCTGGATATCTTTATTGGGGGTGCCCTTTTTTTTGAAGGGTAAGGTAAATCTTTATTAGAAAGATCACACAAATATTACATCAGAAAGCTGCACTTGTAGGTTAAGGGTGTAAGAAGATTATGAAAAGTTTAGTATAATGAGGGAAGTAGAAATGGTTGCATTGAGTAGTAGAAGTGTTGTTCCTACTACTAATTATCCTTGTACTAACCTCTTGCTTACACTTGTTTTTAGTTGATTTTCTTGCTCTCTATTGGATCCATAAACTGAGATTTATGTTTACACCTACACCTGTGGTCATGTTTTATCCATTTCTAGCTCTTGAAGAATTTGTCGCATTTTTACTAAGTAATATTTTCTCATCTTTGCATGCCTCAATAAATTTATCTACATATGTGTAGTCGGTAATACTTCTGAGCCAAGGATGTTGTCAATCTACTCTTGGTACTATGATATCAATAATTTAATGCTTTTTTTTTAACATTAGAACTATACAATTTGTCATAGAACCTGAGCTTGTTCATTGGGTTAACTAGTGAGATAATCTTCCACCATGCAAATTACAATGCTGTGTTGTCATATTTATGTTGTACTTGCTTTATTATTACTCCACAAATTATCTTGGGGGTAAAGAAAGGATGTGCTTCAGAAACTTAGGCTACACTTTTTTCAGTGAAATGTACATAAAAGTTTTCAGGCTGAAATATTTCAATTCTTATTTGTATTCCTTTACAACAAAGTTATATTTTCTGTCCCTTATAATTTGTTTTTGACATACATGCCAGAAAACACAGTTTTGGTTGTAAAAGGAGCAAAAATGTAGCTCAAATATTTCCTCTTGAAAATTTCTATCCATTTTACACTGAAAATATTGTAGCCCTGCTGTCAAAGCATCATGAGTTATCTTCGGCTTCTTAACATGTTCTCCCACACCACTATAACAATACATTGTTTGGTATAGAAAGAGTATAGAAGGTTTCTAGTTAGGTCAATTTGGGAAGCTCTGTAGATGAACTCAGCTCTTAATGCCACTTCTTGCTATTTGAGTTTTCCTGGATCAGATGTGTGTTCAGTCCCCTTGTCCACATCAGTCCTATAGTTCTTTCTTTAGAGAAAGGATTTATTTTTGGAAACATGGCAGCAGGAGGAACATGTGCAGCTCTTTTGGATTCCCAAGCATATAGGCTCATGTAAGATTCATACACCAATTAGACTCCATAAAATACCCAAAACCTGACTAGTAGTTGTGTGTATGGGTATTTGCATAAATATAAATAAGAGAAAGGTAGATTAGATGGGTTAATAATCTTCTTCTCTGGACAACCGTGTGTAGAGTTCCCATGTTAAGAATGATGTGGCCAATCTCAACTGTTCATCAGGTAGGAACTTCCCAAATGTATATATACAAGCAGACATACAAGGAAAGGTTTGAGGGCAAAAATTTCCCCATGAGGCTGTAGGAAGGAATATGTGGAGTAGAGCCCCTTTGGCTTCCAGTCATGTTTCTTTGTCTTCCATTTCTTGAATCCAAATATACGAGTGGGTAATTTTGAGCAGAACTGGTTTGTGGTTGATGCGTGGAGGATTTCTATTTCATCTTCTTTGTTAGATGGGGTAACATCTATGAGTTCATTACTAATTTTACATATGCCACAATTTAGACCAAATCAGATCATGTTGGATAAAACTCTTCAGGTTGGTTTTCTTTAATATGCTAAGTTGATATGTTAAATGCTTAGAATCCAGCAGAGGAATGTCCAGTGAGGTATGCCTTTCCTTTTCCAGTTTTCTTTTCCTTCAAATATTTATTTTGATTTCTTTAGGGGTGGTGGTTACAATGAGGACTTATCAGAATGTGAAAAATGTTATAGGCGATTTTGATTCTTTTGCTGGGAATAAAGACTTGTATTGCTAAGAGGGTGGATTTATGACCCTTAAACTGTCAGAAGTACATTCTGGTGAGACAGCAGCCCAACTTGGACTATATGCAACTTGCTTGAGCTGTATTTATTATTTGCTTACAAGGGACATCACCATCATTGCAAATGTTTCTCTGCATGCTTTTTATGTCATTGAAGGTAAGCTGATTTTTTATTTTAATTCATCTCCTCTCTGCTAAAATCACATCAGCATGAAATTCAAACACAAAAGTGCAAGATTTGTTTATTTTCCAAAATCTGAAGTCAATTCGAGCTTCTGGGGTCATTCTCAAAGTTCTTGTTACAAAGATGAAGAATCCTTAATGGGGGAAAAGCTAATCCTCTTTCACCACTGCTGCATATGCATTTTATAATTTCTCATCTCATTAAATTCCGTTTGGTTATTGAGGAAGGGGAAAACAGTCTACTTGGTTGAAGTAATTAGGGCTGTTCATAAGAATGCCCAACCCGACCAACCCGAGTCGGCCGGGTTTTCATCCGTACTGGTCGGTTTTGGGTTGGGCACATACATAAACCGAAATCTCGGGTCGGTTTCGGTTTTCTTGCGTGAAAACCGAAACCAACCCGACCCGAACCGAACTAGTATTCTACTAGTTTGGTAGTTCCTACTTCCTAGTTTGAGTAGTTTCCTAATTCCTACTAGTCTTCTACTTTTAGACTTCTACTAGAACTAGAACTCTAGAAGGCCCATTAGGCAATTACAATTAGAAT